AAACTGCAACCTGTCATCAGATCAACTACAAGCTTTCAAATTGTCCTTGGGCAACACAGAGGTATAAAACAATAATAATCGCATAATTAACCTTTTTAAATGGGTTGGAAGAAATTTTGAGTTTGATTTTTTAATATGTTATAGATTTACACTTTCATAACCCAAAATTGGTTTACATGGTGGAATTTAAGAAAAACCTCTACAATTTTAAATTTATTTTTTTAATAATAGTTCCCAGGCCTAAATGTTTATTTGCAAATTTGTTTGAAAAACATAGTAACCAATTCTTCTGACCAATTCGTTTCTGTTGAGTCTTGTTCTGTGATTGTGTGAAATACTTGAAATTGCCCTAGATCGTACTTAAAATATATTAAATTTTTTCTGATGAATTTCCAAGTTTAATTGATTAGAAGAAAATTTTAGAACCAAATTAGCAAAGGATTCTTTTCTTGAGTACTTATCATTAAATATATTTTATGAGAAAAATGTTCTATATGACGCTTATCAAAGTCATTCACTCTAAATTAGGCCCTAAACAACTGTTCACTGATATCTGTTAAAAAAGAAGAAGGAAATAGGAAATAGTATTTCCTTCTAACAGATATCAGTGAACAATTGTACATAACACTTTCGTAGCCCAAACGGCGTTGAAAAGAGTCATATAACACATTTTTCTGAAATTTTGAATGCGTTTCAGATTAAAATTTGGAACATTTTAAACATTAAATGATGAATGATAGCAATTCTAACATGCTACTTATTTCCAACAGTGAAGGTTGGGCAACAAAAGTATTTCTGTTTCTGAAATATTACTGTAATTTGAACATGTTGCTCTGAGTTAAAAATAAATTTACAATTTTGTTTATTGATTCAAATGCTACCAAAATATGAAATACAATCGGTTTGACCACCAAAAAAATTGTCACTTGACTGAAACATTGAATTTTGATATCGATTGATTATCACTTGATAAAAACTCCCAACTTCTGGCACCAGGCTATATTTGAAGTTACAGGGGCGCGTCAACTTTCAAAATGCGGATTTTGATCAAGTTTTGTCAAATTTGAATATGAATTTCACTATGTTGTGTATAAATGCCAATTGCCACCACTTCATTAAATGCAAATATTTTGACCTACAACCCCAAGGCCATTCAGAGTTAGGTCAGCATTTTATGATATATCACTGTCGTCAAACTTAATATTAAAAAACGGTAGGCCCATAAGATGCAAAAGGATCAATTTTCTAATTTGTATGAACTATTAGAAATTTTTATATGTGTTATTATAATTAGATGATTACCAGACGGAGCCACCCAAATATCCGAATAGAAAACCGCTGTACACAATGAATATGCTTGATCAGGAATTAAAAAGTTTTTAGAAATATTTTCAATGAAACTTCACAGAATTAGCTTGATTTTTTGTCCAATTGACATGGCTTGCAGCAACGACCCGATCGCTATTTCACCCAATGGTGATTTTTGTATTAAAGTGAAAAAACAAAACTTAATTTTTAAACTTTTTGTATTTTAAGCTATAGTATGAGCTTACAATTTTTTTTTGTTTACTATAAGTGCACTTCCCTGCAAAAACTGCGAGAAATTTTCGCAAATGCTAAACTTTTTAGGAATTTTGTTATCTCATAGTGAGCCAAGGCAGGTCAAAACATTTTTTGACTTTTGAAATTTGAAATTCATACCTGCAAGTGTGACTCTTTTGATATACCAGTAACAATATTTTTGTTCTCTTCTATGAGTTTCAAGGATTTCATAATTGCTCAATCATTTCATCTCGTGCAGTTGTTGACATGGGATTCAACTATTCTGAACTTACAGATTTTAATTCTGATATGTCCAGTTTTGTAGTTCAGATTTTGTTTTTGAATTCAACGGTATTTTCTATGAAATATTAATGTTATATTTTGCATCTAAAACTACTTTCAGTTTGAGAAGTTCATAATTTCTCACTCAGTAGAGAACCATTTATAGATTTCATGGTTTATAAATTATTCTTGTCTCTTTATAGATCAAGGAGTTGGGGCTGAGTGGAAACAAAAACATGGGAGTTGAAGGTTTATCATCAGTTGGACAAATACTTTCCAATCAATCCTGTGTTGAAGTGTTAAACCTTAACTACTGCAACCTGTCATCAGATCAACTAGAAGCTTTCAAATCATCCTTGGGAAACACAGAGGTATAACACAATAATAATGACATAATAAACGTTTTAACAAGGGTTGGAGGAAGTTTGGATTTTTTAATATGTTATAGTTTTACACTTTCATAACCCAAAATTGTATTGCATGGTGGAATTTATGAAAAACCTCTACAATTCTAAGTTTATCGTTTTTAAGACTAGTTTTCAGGCCTGCTCCTTTTTTTAAATTTGTTTGAAATGCATAATAACTAATTCTCCTTACCAATACGGTTCTGTTGAGTCTTGTTCTGTCATTGTGTGAAATACCCGAAATTGCCCTATATCGTACTTAAAATATATTAGATTTTTTTCTGATGAATTTTCCAAGTATAATTCATTGAAAAAATTTTTTAGGACCAAATTAGCGAAGTATTATTTTTTTGAGTACTACTCATTAAATATATTTTTGAGAAAAATGTCCTATATGACTCTTATCATCGTCATTCACTCTAAATTACGCCATGTACAACTGTTTACTGTTTACGGATATCTCTTAAAAAAAGAGAAGGAAATAGGAAATAGTATTTCCATCTAACAGATATCAGTGAACAATTGTACATAACCTGGTTTAGAGTGAACGGCGTTGAAAAGAGTCATAACACCTTTTTCTGAAAATTTGAATGCAATTCAGATTGGAATTTGGAACAGAAGGTAACAGATTTCAAACATTAAATGATGAATGATAACAATTCTAAAAAGCTACTTATTTCCAACATTGAAGGTTGGACAACAAAAGCATTTCTGTTTTTGAAATATTACCGTAATATGACTATGTTGCTCTAAGTTGAAAATAATTTTTCAATTTTGTTTATTGATTCCAAATGCTACCAAGATATGAAATACAATCGGTTTGATCAAAAAAATTGTCACTTGACTGAAACATTGAATTTTAATATCTATTTATCCTCACTTGATAAAAACTTCCAACTTCTGGCACCAGGCTATATTCAAAGTTACAAGGGTGGGTCAACTTTCTAAATGCGGATTTTTACCAAGTTTGTCAAATTTGAATATGAATTTCACTATGTTGCGTATTAATGCCAATTGCTACCACTTCATTAAATGCAGTTATTTTGACCTACAACCCCAAGGTCAGCCTTTTATGATGTATCACTGTCGTCAAATTTAATATTAAAAAACAGTAGGCCTATAAGATGCAAAACGAGGAAAATTTTTATATGTGTTATTATAATTAGATAGTTACCTGACGGAGCCACCCAAATTTCCGAATAGAAAACCGAATTTCCGAATAGCAAAATATAAAAAACTCATGCTCTCCTCTTTTACCAATCTGCTGTTGCCACATCTCCCAGTTAATGTCGTGTTGGTATTCCATTTTCTCGTCATTTTCAGCTAAACAATTGACCAGATTCATAACTATTGAGTCGTCAGTACCTGGAATAGTCGTTCTATGTGATTTGTGACTTTTTAAATCTCATTCTATAATTACCGTAGTTTTATAGTGTATTTCTCTGCTAATTGGTACCATTGCATGGACATATTCCATGCGATAGATAGGAGTGTTCTGAGGATATCACCCATATATAATATTGGGTGCAGTATGACATTCAAAACAATAATTTCCAGGCCATAGATATACAATAAACCTTGATCTCAAATTAGTTAGTTAGTCCCTTTTATGCTAAGTTGTTAATAAATGTTATATTTTGTGCATTACAACTACCTTTAACATGAATGGTTACACCTCTACACTATTCCCAATTGTTGTTAAACATTTCATTGACTGCTTGTTGCGGAACCCCTGAATAACTGTTTCATATTATAATCTTTATAGTTACCCACATTTCGTTGAATATTCAATTCACTGATTAGAATCATTAATCCTAATAATTTCACACAGAGTTATGGTACTCATCTTTTACTCAAGCACAATGACAGTACGAGGTTCATGTTTCATAATCTCTTCATATCAAATGGGTAAATTATTTAGTTAACATTTTATACATGCCTGCACTTCGCAAATCCTATCTTATGCTTCCTTGAAAACTCAAACCCGTACCTAATCTAATCAGCTGCCAGTGCCCCGGGTGAGCAGTTGTCATGGTTACCACGCTTAATGGTGCTTGTAATCTCTATTTTTTCATTGACTAGCGCCTCTGGATTTACTAGACCGTACTTAAACGTTCTCCTCACTGACATGCGATTCCCATTCTATTTTATTCTAATCTGTATATGTACGTCACACTGATTGAAGCACTATTAACGCTATAAATCTTTTGACATTTACAATGGAAGGAGTAATTCTGATATCATAAATGTTCGAATGTCCCGTTGTATTTTAGTAAATTCTAATGAGACAGGCCAATTAGGCCTTTGGGACATGAATTAGGCTTGCCTTTTCATAACAAACCTTGTGACAAACTTTAACTTCTAGTCTTTAGTACAGAATCAATAAATTACCTTCCAAAACAACCTTTGACTTCTGGCACCCGGCTAGGTATTTAATGTCACAAAAGCTTGTCTGTTTTTGAAATTTCAATTTTTACTCTGTTGTACTGAGTTAACAATGATTTCACAATTTTGATGATTACAAATGTTAGCAATTTGTGAAATACAATTGGTTTCACCACAAAAAATGCTACACAACGAAAACATTGAATTTTGATAACTATTGTTTCTCCCTTGATGAAAACTCCCAACTTCTAGCACCAGGCTGTATTCAATGTTACAATGCATTTCTGTGTAATATGAATAATATGGGTTTGGCAAAACTATGATGAATATGACTGTTATATATTTTATCCATATCTGATTGTTCTTTGTATTTGGTTATTTCAACAGATTGATTGTCTGAATCTGATTGAAGATCGAACTGCAAACCATGAAGAAATTGTTGCAGTTGCAAATCTGCTTCCTAATGTTACAAAGAAGTTATCATTGGTAGGATGGAAAATAGCAGATGAAGATAAAGAAATATTGCAGAATCAATTGAATGAAATTGGATCTGAGGTTTGAAATTCTTTCTGCGATATTCTAAATATAAAATATGGGACAGACATAAAATCAACGATTTGCGTAAAAACTGAAATAAACTGCAAGTCTAAATTGTTCACGCTGAACTGAACACTTTAAAGTTTCATCGAAGTGTACCGGTATGTTATTTCCATTGGTGTCGTTTCGATTCTTTAAAGGAGTCGTTAAAATATAATGTCATCGCAGTCAATGTGATTGTGTTGTACATATTCAATATTCGCTATTCTTTAATCATGTTTATTTGTGTTTTGATAAAAAGAACAATTTCATAGTACATTTTTTTATTTCCCAAAATTTATCATTCATCTTGCTCTACTGCATTGATTATTTATTTTAATTTTTTTATCAAATGAAACTAAAAAAAAATTTTACAATATCAAGGTTTTGTATCAAGATTCATTTGTGTTTCTGTTTCGCCAAACAAAAGTCTAAATTTGAAATGAATTTACTAATTTTTCACAATAATTCTTATTTCAATGAACTACCAAGTCACTAGACTGTCTGTTTAGTGAGTTATCAAAGATAAGATAAAATATGCAAATTTTAAAAGTTTCTCAATAAATGGAAGAATTCTTAATAAAATGAGCAGCACTTTTATATAGTATGGTTTTATGGGGGAATGCATCAAATTTTAGCACTGGAATTATTAGATACCATTGTCTGTTTAAATATTGTTCTGCATGCTTAGTGCTAATCTTGTATAAAAATTTTATTCATTACAGGAACTAGTAATTCAGTTTCTTGGAAGTACACTCAAAAGTCAGAGGAAGTCAGCAAATGCTACAACTAATGTTTTTTCTAAACAACTTCCAACCACAACGTCAAAAGCTGAATTTGGTGAGTTATAAATATGTTTTTGAAATTGAGTGGTGCTATGGTATAATGAGTACGTAATGGTCATCAAGTATTTTAGTTATGGTCATCAAGTATTTTTCATTTTTTGAGGATATAATGGTAATAAATATACTTTCATTGCTGCTGAATCTGGCATATCATTCAACACTGTCTTGCAATATGTTATATATTGTGATTCTTTAAACAGATTTTTATATTTTTATCGTTTATTATAAATATGGAATTATCGAACAAAATTTTCAGTGTGTTAAGATTGAATATAAATCTAGCATATTAAAATTAATTTCATGGAAAAATATAAATTAATTGTTTCCAAGTTGTTGAATTTGGTTGCGGAGCATCGTTATGGATGGTTGCTTGGCATACCAATCTGATTATCTTGCTCGGTTCACAGTTTCGGATCTTGGGGATAATCAAGTGCGAGAGGTTTGCTGAATTCATGTCGTCAAATAGTGGTTCAAGTACCCACTGGTTTATTGAGCTTCCTCCACCATCAAGTCCATGCATCTGAAACAAATAACTAACTAACTAATCCCATACCCGACATGCATTGGTAACCGGATGAGAGGCCACGGTTCACTGTATAAGCCTCATTATTGATTTACCTTTCTCTTCCGGGTAAAATAGGAAATTCTATCATAATTTCTGATAAACGATGTTAAATAGCTCAAAACAGAGTCTTAAATAGTATCATCATTTTTTGATAATTATTTATTATCCTTTCTCAGGATCACCATATGCAAACAGTTTTGAAAATACTGGAGAAAATGTAGCGACTTTACAAGAAGTAGGAAGCCCAAGGTTAGATATAACAGTACTTTAACTTTGTATGATACAAATTGCTCACCTATATTTCAATTGTCAAGGATAGCAATGGCCTAGTGCAGCGGTTCCCAAACTTTATGTTTGTACAGCGCTAAATTATCAGGGAGAAAATTGTGGTACACGTACACGAAACTTGCTGCATTTGGATAAAACTGAATTTTGTGATCGTTAATGTGCATTTTATGCTTTTTAAAGTTTGTCAATATGTGCGCCTGAAGAAAAGGGAATGCCATAAAAACATTTAACTTATTTATTTAATGAGAGGTGTGCGGCAGTTGCTCTGAACACACATTTTCAAAGCGAGATGTTATACTTGGTGTGCACATGCATTTCTCTCTCTATGTCCAAATGTAACTATTATTTTGTTTTGATTGACACCACTGCTGAAAACTCATCTTTGCAAAGATAGGAGGTTGCACTTGTGGCCATTTCAAACAAAATTCATATGAGTCATTAAAATCTGATGTCAAGTTAACAAATTGCTCAGCTTTGCTTGTTGATAAGCATATATCTTCATATACACATCATTTAAAATGAGAAATAATAAAACATCCATAATAATTACAATTTTTAAAAAATTCAATCATATATCAGCTATGTTTAACACAAATCTGTTAATTTTTGCGTCGTGGGAACCTCTGGCCTAGTGGTTAAAGTGTTGAACTTATTATCTATCACAGGTTAGAAATCTTTGGTTCAAAGCCCATGCCCACCAGCTTACCTGGTGCACAATCTTCAACGCTGTGGGTGAGGAGAGAAGGGTTTTGAAATCGAGTAATAGGGGCTGTTATTTTAACCAATGAATCAAAATTAATACATTTGCATTCTCCATTTTATCTTCAGAAGTGAACTCCCACTGTCTGAAGAAGAAGCAGAACAATCAGATAAAGAAGTAACGGAAGAACTTGCAAAGCCAACTCAGCATAGTAAGTCAGACATATTAATAGAATCAGATGGCGTTGGGCTGAGTCAAATGCTTATAATTAAGAGGAGGTGCTGAACCTTTGAGATGTTGAAATAATACAGGGGGTGTGCAACATTTTTTGCCGGTGGGCCATATAACCAACTTCAGACATCTAGCTAGGCCAGACAGAAAAATTTAGTTTTTCCATAAACATAAAATATTGAAAAATTCCCACAATAAAGAATCCCATTTTATGTAACAGTTTAGTGGGACATTGGAAACTTTAAGTTCTTGCATAATTTGTTAAGATCAGCTTTATAAGAACTGTCAACATGAACAGTCGGATTTGAATTTTATTCTTGGTGGAGAAAATTTGAATGCTGACAAGGGCCACACCGAATAGCTTGATGGAACGGTTTATGGCCCCAGAGCCACCTGTTGCACACCTCTGGAATAATAGAATCTGTCCTCAACCAAATTTTCACACAAATAGTAAGGTTTGGCAAATCAACTGCCAAGCTGGACAAATATAACCCACTCCAGGTTGGAGAAGATATCAACTCCAGCTCCTACTACTCCAGCTCCACTACTATTTTATATTCGATTTTGTTTTTGAATTTTGTATGAATTGCCCAGAAATAATTTTAGGTGCACAGCTTATATTGAAAATGTTTTTTATTGAAGTATGCTAAGTCGAAATATTTATTTATAGCTTTGCCGCAAATTGAAAATGTTTCGTCTCAAAGAAGTGGAACCGACATTCTTTTGACTTGGAATGAAGTATCTGACAGCAACGTTCTATACAACATAGAAATCTTCTGTGATGATGTGAAACTTGGAGAGACTCACACTACAGAGGTTCCTCAGTATAGAATGAAGTCACCTACACTTGGTAAAAAATATCGTTTCCAAGTCTGGGCCAGAGATGAATTGGGAAACTCTGGCATAAAAACACAGTCAAAGAATGTTATCAAATGTAAGTTATGGCCATTAATTATTAGGTGAAGTAGCAGCCTCATAATTCAACTTCTTTGTTGTTCTAATAAATAGTGAGTGTATCAGTATGATACCCCCCCCCCCCCCCCCCCCCCATCATCATTATTATAACAAATAGCAAGCATTTTCATTCTAACAACTTAGGGTTGCAATTTGCGTCTGACAATGTTGTTTCTATAACACATTAATCGGTCATCTGGGAGCCTCGGTAGCAATGTTGGGGGGACTCGAGTAACTCACTCATTCGAACTCGAATAACAGCCATAGCAACTTTACTTAGGACGCAAAAAAAAATTTTGGGCAAGTATTTGGAATAGCAAAAAATCAAATAAATATGAATTGCCATACATATCAATGCTGTATATTTGTAATGAGAAAAGGCTTATTGGCATAAATTCAGGGGTTTCAAAATGACATTTTTTCGAAATGAAAATGATTTACATCCGTTGACCAAGGCACAGTGTTTTTATTCTACCATTTGTGGTAGTTCAAGATTTGTTCACTGATGTTCTACTGCACTATGTCAAGCTGTTATGTGAAATAATGGCACCCCCGAAGTATGTTAACCAAGATACACCAGAACGTTGTATGTGTACCAGGTTAGGGTTAGGCCATATTTTCATTACAATTTTCCTTTTTTTATTTCTATTATGAGTTCTGGGACTAGCCAAGTGACTCCCACAGTATTTGTACCTGGAATGATATGGCCTAATCCTAACCTGGTACACATATTGAGTTCTGGGACTAGCCAAGTGACTCCTATAGTATTTGTACCTGGAATTATGGCCTAATCCTAACCTGGTACACATACTACGTTACGGTGTCCGCCATCATGGTCATGCTTCGAGAGTACTGAAAAATTTATGCCGAAACCACTATTTTAGTGGCTCCGAAACATTATCTTCTTCCTTTGAATGTAATTAATGAAAATATATCGTGCTCTGGTCATACAAGCAATCTAAACTTATTGAACCAAATCATATTTCTATTCCTAAATGTGGATAAGTTGTTCCCTACCTGATTGACCTGGGGAAAAAAAAATTGAAAATTCTAACCCAATACACAAGAATTGCTCTCATAACTTATGTTAACAAATATTATGTCACATTTCCAGTGCTAGCAAGCCCTCATAACTTATGTTAACAAATATTATGTCGCATTCCCAGTGCTAGCAAGCCCTTTCTATATTTTGCCTTCTATACGCCAAATGTTCAAAGGACAGTGAAATTAGAGCTAAGCCTGCTGTGATTTATGTCCAAGTACCCATTTCCTGCTCAGCTACTTCTTGCATTTTATTCCAGTAATTAGCAATCTTCTCATTTTGTAGGCAATGACATCCTTTCCCTAATGGGCTTTATGCATCTAACACAAATTACTGGCTAACTATTCTCATAGCCGACATAGACTGGTGATCGAACAAGGGCCATGTTTGCCATGCGATTGAAACGTCTTGTCTATTTCCCTTTCCCCGGGATAAATATGGAACTCCTAATGACATTGGAAGGGTTCTTTAGATAACTTTGGAACCACCTGTTAAAATTTACTTTTTGTCGTATTATAAAACAACTCTATTTTTTTAGTGGTAAACGTTGAAGTTGCCGGCGGCTACATGATACTGAACGAATGCAAAGTCACATTTCCTAGTGGAACTTTCAACAAACAAACAAAAGTCTGGATGTCGGTTGGAATTGACAATTCAATATGCCCAGAAGAATACATTGGTATCACACCAGTTTTCGATATCAGCGCGGATTCTGAATTCCTCAAAGATGCGATCGTGCAAATCCAGTCATGGTGTGTCGGTCTAGAGAAAGACAAAATTGACATATTACATTTCTCAAGTAAAACTGACTGGGACATTATTAATCCTGATCGAATCACAGACGATAACAGCATAGAATTTCGATGCAGAAAGTTTAGTCTATTTACTGTCGCCATGAATTGGTTAAAATGGCTACTTGGTAAGCAAGAGGTTATCGTGGACAACTGTCTCTATATACATAACAGAAACAAATTTCATTTCACATTCTTTGAGAAAAGTGAGACTGCTGAAACCATTATCAGATCCCATTACAGAGAACTAGGGGCACGTCTTGCTCCAATTCGGTTCAATCCATTCGCTTTGAAAACTGATGACAGACTTGGCCTCGAGTTACAGATTGATCAAGAAGATTTACAATTCAATATGCCCCACGGACAATTCATTTGCGACAGAATATTTCTAGCAGCCCACAAACGTGAATTAACATTTCGTCTTCTTCCTACTTTACAAGAATATCCTGAAAGTCTCATTGTTAGCCGAATTTTGATAAATGACGTTTTGCATGAAATGCAAGACTTTGATTTTCCATTACCCCCTGCAGGTAAGTGATACTCTGGGTAGAGGGCTGTATAATATGTTGTGCTCCGATATTCGTGTTCCATAACGTTCTAGTTATGACTTTGCTCCCTAACCTATTGGTCTCTCAAAAATGTGTTGTTCAAGTTGTCATTCAACCACTCAACGTGATGTAGGTATTCATTGTTAAAAAGAGGCTTTCTGTCGTAAAAAACGGACCTCCTGAAGTATGCGCACCAAGATTGCGCATAACCTGAACTCAGGTTGTGTACCATGTTAGGATTCAGGTTGTGCGACATCTTGGTGCGCATACTCCAGGAGTAACAAAAAAAACTTTCTAGTTTGCTTACTTTGTTTAGTTTCTGTTTCTGGAAACTTGTATTGCCCTATAAACCTTACTTTTGAAACGTCAAAGTTGAAATATAAATTATTATGATTCTAAAGTCAATTTCATTATGTTTAGATATGCCAGGACAACAAACTACCCATTTCTACGGAGATTTTCATGTTGAGGGAAACATGAATATGGATGAACTAGTAAACAATCTTCAACAACCTTTACAAGATGTGAGTAAATGCAATAAATATTGGTGCTCGCGTAGTATTTGTACCAGGGCGGGATACTTTGCCTTATTTAATCCCACATTGGTACGAATACTTCTGGAGCGCCTAAATATGCAGATAAACGATATGTGAAATGGAATTCTTATAAAAAACTATTTATCATTTGTGTTATAATAATATTTTGAATAGGTCGAAAAGGCCAAATTGTCCATTATTAATACACTTTCTCCTGTTTATGCACAAAATGATAATATCACCATGAAAATAATCCAACATAAATAAATTTATCAAATATAATATGATATATATAATAAAAATATAAGATAATATACAACCCAACCTCACATTATAAATATCCCTTCACAAGACATGCATTTAATTTGACTAACAATATATTATGCTGAAATTGACAATTGTCTGTTTTATTAAGGCACAGAGAGAAGCAGAGCAGCAAAGAGATGCAGATGAAAACGGGGACCATGAACCAGAATTGATTTTCCAAATTGCTATTTTCTTGTTTGTAACTGTTTTTCTCAGCGCTTATTTTGCGGGCGGCACACCTGATTAAACCCTATAATTTGTTTCTGGCTGGAATTTCATAAACTTTATCGGAATCTCTCATATTGACGTTTCGGCGCTCCAGAAGTATTCATAACAGGTCATTTTCCATTAGAATACTTTACTTAATCCGCACATTGGTAAGAATACGGCACTCCAGAAGTATTCGTACTAAAGTGGGGATTAACTAAGGCAAAGTATCTTAAGAGAAAATGCTCTGATACGAATACTACGGGAGCAAAGTGCTAAAAAAATGCCCTGGTAGGAATACTTTGGGAACACCGACTTTTTAACTACTGATACTAGGTAACTAAAACATCCCTATAAAGTTTAAAATTTGTGTGCCAACACGCACCAAGTTATAATACTAAGTAGGTTGGGAAAAAATGGCTGTTATTATAAATGTTGGATTTACGTGATAAATTTTGACTCTGGCTACACCTAGTAGTTTGACATAATGTTCCAGAGAGAGCAAACTGGTAGCTGAGGTCTTTGCTGTAACCAATGTTGCCCCTAATCTATGTGAAGTAACAACAGATGTGAATGATAAATTCTATTTTTTTTTATAATAGTGATACATGTAACAATGACATGCAATGCTTATTGTAAGTTTCCATTTTTTGTTTTGTATATGTCAGCATTTTAAACTTTCATGTACTGCAATCAGCTTGTCTTGTTTATCATGATTAACAAAACTGTACCTAATCTTGCTGTATTGGAATGAAATAACAATTGGATGAATGATTCAACTTATCCAATCCTCAATCCTTCCTAATGTATATAGGTTTTCTATATAACCTTGTGTGTTTTCCTATGTTTTGAAACGTAAAAAAAAAATTAAAAATAGTCATAAAATAGAAATAAAAAAATTTTCATGTTTAAAAAAAATAAAAAAATAGCAAAAAAAAAATGAAAAAACCGTAATGAAAATTAAAAAAAATTCATGTATTCCCTAAATTTTATATTATAGAAAAAAAAATAAAAAACAACTAAAAAAAATTCCTGAGTAGCTCAAAAATTAAGGAGGCTGATATATGAGTGGAAATATGAAGGTCCACTGAAGCCCCAAAATCTACTGAGACCATAAGATATTATAGTGTAAAATCACATGCCAGTGAATACCGATGGGTGTATTGAATATATATATTATTTTTATGTCGACCAGATTTTAAAAATTTTATGTACCGGTAATTGTAGTTTCATTATTTCTTGAGATTTTTTAGTTTTTCATGATTGATAACTACTGCACATAATCTTGCTGTATTCGAATCCTTCTTACTGTATATATGAGTTTTCCTTGAAACTTCACATTAGCTTAGTATTTAAATAAAAAAAATAAAAATAATGAAAAATATAACAAAAAAGCTTTCATTTTGATATATTCATTTACAAAATTAACCAAAAAGTTGGCATTCATTTTCTATTTTCTCTTATTTCATGAAACAAAATGTGTTGTGTGATGTCTCAAACCTGATTTACTTACAGCCTTTGCCTATTTTTGAATTTTGGCTGTTCAACATTCAAAAAGCTTACAGGCTAGTTGTGCGGCTATTACATTTTCATTTCTTTCGTTTTTGTTTCTGATTGATTGGAACTTTTGACTATGACATTGTAAATAAAACACACGTTTAGGTTTTCTCGATTCGTCTCATTGTTTTCCGATAAATATTTATAGCTAGTGCATGATTTTGATTGCTCAATTACTGCAGCAGTCAGTAGAATTGGGAAATTTCCCATCAATTGGTGTTTGACTTGGTATTAATGTAATCTTTAGTAAATTCACTATATCTAGTAAGTGATATCCAGTTGGATAATTTGTACGGTACTTACCATCATCACAAATATATCCATTTTTTATTTATCGGGAGATATCTGAACCTTGGGTGTCATTGCTCGATAACCAGCTTTGGTTCCTCGCGGCCTCACTTCCCCAGTAAAACTCATAATTTGTTGCCGATCGATATTTATTTTACTGATTGGAAAAAATAAACTTGACTTGCTTTCACTTAGTGATGAGATAAATGTTACAACTGCTATTGTATGTATTTATATTGGCTAATTTTATTTAACCTAATCCTAACTCGTCTTAAAGAGCTATTGTTCGAATTTTTATCAATTTTTGTTGTGAAATGCATCACCTTGTGCTTCTGTTTTACAATTATTGTCCACTACTGAAATCTACAATTTATGTGTATATTTTAGAACATCTCTGAGATGTTTAAATTTTGTGATTTGTCGGCATTTTTCATGACTGTTATAATAAATTAATTTCAACTCTGGCTCCACCTAGTGGTTAGACATTATGTTCCTAGCCAGCGAGAGCAGAATGGTAGCTGAGGACTCTGCCAGAGCCCAAAGTAACTTTGCCCCTAATCTATGTGAAGTAAAAACATATGTGTATTATAAATTCTAGTTATATTATAATAGTAATACATGTAGAATATTACAATGACATGCAATGCTTATTGTAAATTTCCATTTTGTATATGTCAGCTTTTCAAATTTTCATGCACTGCAATCAGCATTTCTTGTTTATCATGATTGACAACACTGTACATAATCTTGCTTTATTGGAATGAAATAACAATTGGATATATATTTTAACTTATCCAATCCTCAATCCCTCCCTAATGTATATAGGTTTTCTATATAACCTTGTGTGTTTTCCTATGTTTTAAAACGTAAAAAAAAATTTAAAAGAGTCATAAAATAGAAAAAAAAAATTTTCATGTTTAAAAAAAATAAAAAATAGCAAAAAAAAAATAAAAAAACAGTAATAAAAATTGAAAAAAATTCATGTATTCCCTAAATTTTATATTATAGAAAAAAAATTAAAAACAACTAAAAAAAATCGAAAATTAAGCTCAGAAATTAAGGAGGCTGATATATGAGTGGAAAAAAGGGGGTCCACTGAAGCCCCAAAACCTACTGAGACAATAAGACATTATAGTGTAGAATTACATGCCAGTGAATACTGACTGGTGTAAGACTTAAAGTACTCACAGGCAGAGCTCATGGAGTAGCCTATTAGCTTTCGTTTTAATTCTTCTTTTAATAATTCTCGCTTATGTAGTATTAGCTTTTGTTTCAATTCTTTTGCTGAATAAAAATAATTCTCGTTTTTATTTTATTTAAATACTTCATTATTAAACTATATTGAATCAAAGGGTTTCCGATATTAACCAATGTCATATTATGTTTATATTTCTCTCAGATCTCAAACTGGGGTCTGCGAGGGATAATTGGGTAGGGTGGGTGTGTCTGAACAGCTGTTAGTTTTGGCGTTATAGACTAACATTGTTCTTGGCGCTGTTTTGTCATTTAGTTCTTTGAATTTCACTAACTTATTGGACACGAAAGGGCCTTATGGATATCTTAGTATATTTCTTATTCTTGTAGGGAAAAAATAGCCTTTAACTACAGAATCAATTGCTAAAAAATTTTCTACGGCTAAAGATTGTTCAAAAATTTATGTGGTCTCTATGAAATTCGTATTTATCTTTTCTGTGTGATGACGTCATTAAAATAAAATATTTGCATCATGTCTTTGTTCCATGACCGCTTTTCAGCGATCACACAAAGGTTAATAGGCATCATTTAGTTTTAACACTTTTGTGTTGCAATTTGAGGAGTGGCAGCTGATGCGAATGTTTTCCAAACAGCTCTATGCTATGTTCTGTATTGTGTTTTAGGTTTGAAATTATGGTGGTCCGCAATTGCTCCAGAAAGGTATAAGGGGTCCGTAGGCATAGTAACTTTGGGAACAACTTTTTTAGATGGATAATTTTATGAAGCTACATTTGCAGTTTATGTGCAATGTCTCAAACCTGATGCTACAGCTCATTATTGAAAGCAATTTTTGGCTGAAAAATAAATTATTTCTGATCGCTTACAGACTAGTTGAGTCGTTATTGTTTCTAATTTTTGTCTTTTGATTGGGATTTTTGAGTATGACATTGTGGATAAAACACCCATTATAAGTGGTTATTTTCATACAAATCTGCTTTTCAAATCAGTCTCACTGTTTGTACTGTATAGAGCAGGGTGGTCCAAGGTTGCCATCTCCGGGGGCCACAAAATTATTTTTGCATTGTTCGCGGGCCACAATAATGCCAAGAATATAGGTAAACAGTGCAATACAAATCAAACATTTTATTGTGCAAACACAATGATCACTATTTGGCATTTATCAAGCTAAAACATGTAAAAACTTACTAAAACCTGCAAAGGCCTTCTTCAGCTTTTTTTTCAAACTCATGTTTACGAAATAACTTATAAATAACTGCAGATTCATTAATTACCGAATGTAAGCTAACAGGAGGGTAAATACTGAATTTTCTGACAAATAGGCAGCATTTTTTCTAATACTGTTTAGGGTGGTTGCAAAAAACACACGGCATGAATTATATTGTTGGGCCATAACGTTGATATTTAGTTATTAGGCATAGCCAACCTATGCTAATAAAATTCGCAATCGATTTTTAGTTTATTATAATGCCAAAATTGTTAGCATATATTTCTGACCAAGAAGATTAAAAAAAAAATTTAGACTGCCAAGCACATCATTCAACTTCGCTAGTTGCCTCAGCCGATTATAACACTAATCAATTCAGCGACATTAGTGATGTAACAATATGTCCAAAAAATTTTCTGGTTAATTTTATATGAAAACAACACCAAATGCGATTCTTTGACTACTTTCCGAATGTGACGCGGGCCACAGATCATGAAGCTGCGGGCCACATGTGGCCCGTGGGCCTTGGTTTGGACCACCCTCGTATAGAGTGAGTAGTTACCGGTAACTGATGATGAAAATTCATGTTTGAAATTCTGAGTGATTCCTGTATTTAAATGCCTAACTTTTGCTTGATATGTTATTTTAATTATTGTAAAAGTGAAATATTTCAATAAAGAGCTCATAACTTTATGATACAGAATGAAATGACCAACTTAACACTTTCGCCTGCATAATCTAACAGGTCTTCAGTCAAAAACATTTATGAATTGAATTTACTTTTAATTCTGCGTTATTCCGAAGCTTTGGATCCTTGGAAACTCATGGAAAGATCGGTCAGGTTGTTTCTCAGACGTTACAGAGCACCCGTATACGACACAGTACCATATTCAATTATTCCATCGTCTTATAGCTGTAATAGGCCTATGCTGATTATTGAGTCGAAATAAACTTATACTAGTTCTGTAGTAGCCAGTCTTTGAAAGAAAGTAAACAGAAGAACCTGATACCCCAATCTACGTTTGTGCATGGACTGTTATGAAACATTCAATCTATTTACAGAGTCTATTTTGTTTTTTTTCAGTAACAATTTTTTGTCACTGTTTTTTGCAATGAAATTGAACCACAGCATCACCATAATACGTTAACGAGTGTTTTTTATTCCATATTTTTGCAGGAAAAGCACCGTTATGATACAAATACACGTCTCACATTTTAAAATTCATTTGAAAGGCTTGGCGGTGTGGCGCATCGTGCTAAGCGTTAGGAATACGCTCGCCACCTCATCTCCGATTACTCTTCGTAGGTTCGCATGCAGGGATAATCATGTGCGAGAGGATTGCTGGACTCCTCGCCACCGTAGGGTGATTCACGTAACCGCTGGTCGAAAGGCCGTGGTTCGCCATATGATTGAGACGTCTTCTCGGTTTTTCTCTTCCCAGGATAAATATGTAAATTCTATCTTAAGGTACTGTAATTGCTCGATTTTACATCGTTCATTTGTTTTATTGTGTTCTTTTGACTGTTTTTGGTGGACGGGCACGTACTTGTACGTTTATAAATTTTTTATTAAGTTATGCCCGTCCTCCAGGTCGTCTGTGTTTTGTTTGTCCGTTTGTTGTTGTTTTGTTCCTATCAGAGTGATTAACCCTTTCCATGCGATTTTTATTTTTTATAAAATAATCGTATTTGCTACACCGACTATATGCATTTGTACCCCCACAACTAATCGATCGACTAACGAAAAAGTAATGATCCTCTGCTGCCCACTGACGGCTCGTTGGAAAGCTTATTTAAAGAGCTTGCAATTGGCGATTGAAAAAAATTTTTTTTTTTTAAAAGGGGTGGTCTGAGTCACAAACCGGATAAAAAAAGGCATTTTTTTTTTTGGGGTGTTGAAACTTCAAACCGTGATAAAAAATAGAAATATTCGCTAAATCCTTTACTGTTACCGCTTCTTGGTTGGCAAACAATAGCATAATATTGCTGTAGCAATTTCGTTATCTTACTCAAAATATTTTGGTAGATGGAAGGGGTAATATGTCTTCTATTACCACCCAAAAAAC